GGGAGAGAGAGGGAGAGGGAGACAGAGAGAGAGAGAGAGAGAGAGAGAGAGAGAGAGAGAGAGAGAGAGAGAGAGAGAGAGAGAGATTATACTTTTCCAGAATCTTACATGGAGAGGCTATGTTTGTGGTTCTCTGTCCAGAAACAATGTGCTAGAGGGGCAGGATTCTAGTCAGGAAAAGTTCACCATCTCATTAACACATTAATGCATTAGATATTTCACCCTTTTTTTTTTTTGGTCTTTTTGAGACAGGGTCTCCCTGTAGCTCCAGCTGTCCTGGAACTCACTATGTAGACCAGGCTGGCCTTGAACTCACTGAGATCCAACTGCCTCTGCCTCCCAAGTGCTGGGACTAAAGGCATGCACCACCACGCCTGGCTTCACCCATCTTTTTAGCATGACTTAAGGTGAACCTTTCTTCCTAGGGGCAGTCCTATGACCAGGGGATCTGGCAAAACTGACAAGTTGGGTCTTCTTCCAGGCCAGAGTCTTGACCAGATTTCTCCTAAAGGGGTTTCTGCTTCCTTAACAGAGGTCCCCGACAGCAGAGTTCTAGTCCCAGGAGGCCACCCAGGAGGCTTTCTTTCTTCCTGACAGTCACAGAGGCTTGCCCTTGCTGTTCCCTCAGCTGGACATTTGGGGTTGATCTGAACATACATGCGCCAGAGTAAGTTCTGGAAATCACCCCAAACTCTAGAACCCCTGCAATCTGCATAGTTCCCACCCCAGAGTTGAGTCAAGAGTTAGGAAGCTAGGTCTTAGCTCTGCATGCCTTTGCTGTGTGACCTCATTCTTTCATGTCTCTGGGCCTCAGTTTCCCCATCTGTAAGGTGGAGGTAACAGTCCTCATTCTGCCCACGGGGACACAATACACCAGAACCACAGACCACAGCTCACAGGCTCCTCTAACTTAGGAGAGCCCTTGAGGGTTGGGATTAGTACTCAAACTCCAGACAACTGAGTGAAAAGAAAAGGCTGGGGGCCTAGAGAGAAAAAGAGTCAGTTAACACACAAGGCAAGAAGCTCATAACTGGGCCAGTTGTGTTGCACCATTATAACAAAAATGCCTAAGATAAACAATTTATAAGGAGGAAAGGTTTCAGGGGTTCTAGACCACAGTCCCCTGGCTCTGTTTCTTTGTGGCTGTGGTGGAGGGTGTGGTAGAGGAGGCCTGTTCACTTCATGGCTGCCAAGAAGCAAAAAGAGGCAAGGGGCTAGGGGCCCTCACATCTCCAAAGCACACCGTCAGCAACCTAACTTCCCCCAGCTCCTATAGGCTGCACCACCTCCCAGCAGAGCCACAGGCTGCTAACCAAGCCTTGAACATTTCAGAGACATTTAAGAGATCTCTGGCCCTTTAGAGACATTTAGGATCCAAATCATGGCACAGGTACCCATTTTATGGCCTGAAGACCATTGTACAAAAGGAACTCAGCATTTTTCTGTTGCTGGATTTACTTTCTATACAGTTAGCAAGAACTTTATTCTGGCAGTTTCTAGGTGACTGACACCTCAGATACTTCTGGTGTGGTCCCAGTTCAAACTGTTGACCTGCTTCCCAGTGAAGGGTTTGCTAGACTGAGGCAGGAGTTAAGGAAGTGTTTGTGCAAAAGCTACATGTCAAGAGGGAAGGAATGTCCACTTCTGGCCTTCATCTCTCTCCATCCCCCACTGGAATCCACTGAGATCTGTCTCTTCAGTCCTTGATCTTCATCTAGCATGTGTTCCTACCCTGACTGCATACTGGTTCCCTCTGTCCCTGCTAGGCCGTCTCTGTGCCCCACCACAACCTCCCTGAGCCAGGTGTGAGTCTTCCCTGTTCCTTTCCTGAGTGGAGCTAAAGCAGATAGCTCCCCAACCCCAACCCCTGGGCCCTCTGGGTCCCCCCTTTAGCTATCTAGGATTCCTCACACCTGGTGACAGCCAAGGAAGGGACTGTACATCTCCAAGGCCCCAAGCAGAATAGGAAAAGCACAAGGTCCTTTGCTCCACAATCCCCATCCCCTTTCTGAATCACGTGTCCTTCTTCCCCCAAGCGCCTCTGGAACATTTATTTACTTTTTTAATTGCATGTATTTCATTATCGTGGGGGGGGGGGTGCATACCATAGCATGCATGTGGAAGTCAGAGGACAACTTGCAGGAGTCAGTTCTCTCCTTCCATTATGTGGGTTCCGGGGATTGAACTCAGGTTGTCAGGCTTAGCAGCAAGCACCTTTACCTGCTGAGCCATCTCATCAGCCCTGGAAATAGGAATTGCTCAACTACAAGAAGTTCAAGTAAGTAGAAGTCTCGGATTCACTACTGAAGGAGACCTTGACTTTGTGGGCACTTTTTCCTCCCTGAGGATTTTTCTTCCCTAAGAACTCTTGATTTTCTTTACTTTTGTGACATGTCCCTCGATGTACTTCTTCCCTGGATAGTAAGTTTCTTACTCCTATGAGAGACTGTGACAGGTGAATCAGAGCCTCTGGCACATGGCAAGAACTCAACATGTGTTAAGAGAAAAATCCATAGCAAGGCGTGCTTGAACATGCCTTTAATTCCAGAACTTGGGAGGCAGAAGCAGACAGCTCTCTGTAGTATGAGGCCAGCCAGGGCTACAAAGTGAGACCCTGTCTCAAAAAAAAAAGGGTCATTTTCCCAAACACTCCTTGAACCTCTCTGTTGACCTCCAGCAGCTGCTCTGATTCAGGGCGTTGTCCCAAAGGCTCTTGACTCCATTTCTGAGAAGGCAAGGAATGGGGAAAATCAAGTGTTTCTCCTTCCCAGGAATACCGCCCCACCTCCCACTTTGATTAGCTTTTCAAAGAGCTCTGAGGCACAGAGTAACTAGACATGAGGAGTCCCTGGCAGACAGTCTGTGTCCCATCCTGACAGGCTCTGATACTAGAGCAAGACTTCAAGAACAACTTCATTTAAAGGTAAAACCATGTAAGTATGACTCCCCCAACAGTATGTATTAGAAACATAATTTCCATTGGAATGGTACTAAAAGTCAGAATCAGGGCTAGAGAGATGGCTCAGGGGTTAAGAGCACTGGCTGCTCTTGCAGAGGACCAAGGTTTGTTTCCAAGTACTCACATGGCTAACAACTGTCCTTAACTCCAGTTCCAGGAGATCCAATGCCCTCTTCTAACCTCATAGACATTTCACACATGGATGCACATTATATACATGCAGGAAACACTCATATACATGAAATAAAAATAAAAAAATAAATGCAGGTGTGGTGGCACACTCCTTTAATCCCAGCACTCAGGAAGCAAAGGCAAGCAGAGCTCTGTGCAAAGTCAGTCTGGTCTACGTAGTGAGTTCCAGGCCAGCTGGGGCTACAGGCAGTCCCTCTCTCAAAAAACTAAAATAAGTAATTAATCAAATTAATAAAATAATTTTTAAAAATAAACACCTGGGACTGGGGATACATAAACTATGCTAATCTTCACTGAAATAAATAAATATAATAAAAATAATAAATAAATAAATAAATAAATGCAAACAAAAAAATCATCAGAGGGGTTAGGCCATGGGAGCTCTCTCCTCATGGGGAGATTAATACCGTTATCATGGATGTGGATTCAAATCTGGATCACTCTCTCTTTCTATATATCTCCCTCCCATCTTCTTTCTTTTCTCTTCTACCATGAGATGACACAGCAAGAAGGCCCTCTCTAGATGTCAGCCCTTTAACCTTGAACTTCTCAACTTCCATAATTATGAGTCAGTAAATCCCTGTTCATTATAAAACAATAGGTTAGTGTATTCTGATAGAGCAACAGAAAAATGTCAAAGTTGTAATTAGTTGTAATTAATGAGGGCACTGTGAAGGCGGATCCAGTTCAAAGGAGAGCACATCTGAGCTCAAAGGACAGGTGTGGGACCAGCTGCAGTGGTGCGCATCTGTAATCTCAGCACTTGGGTGGCAAAGGTGGGAGGATGGAGAGGTGAAGGCCAGCCTGGGCTATGCATAGTAAGGTCCTGACAAATGGGAA